ACACCACTTCGATAGAAATGGAGAACTTCACTTTATAATTCTCACAAAGACTTTTACACGTACACATCAGTCGATGTTGGGTGAGGTGTTTATTCTTTAGTATGACTGGCAAAGGGAAGTCTTGTCTTTCTTTTGTAAAAAACCCATAAAAGATAACATATATTAATAGGGGTCGTGGGGAGGGGAGCTTGGCCCCTAGAGAAAAAGTTAAAAAAAGAAAAAAAGAAAAAAGGACAAGAAAAGGCAGAAGAGACCAATATTGAGGAAAGCAGATGGAAAATTACCATTTGCTTGAACATACCTTGGAAGTGGCCTCTTGGTATTTTTCTCAACCATGCAGTTTATAGTAGGTAAAGCCACAACGGCTTCCTATTAAGTATAAAGTTTCAAGAACCATTCGTGAAAGTGTTAAGCATTCCACCCAGCAATCAACACCAAACAATAAACATTACCTTAATGAAAGTCAATGTACAGCATTTTGTAACAGGAATGGGATAAACGTACATTTTGAGGAAAAATTCTGGTACCCAACTAGGACAACATTTGTGCAAACTGTGGCCCTTCATATGAATAGTGGGTACTAATGACCCTGATCTTTGGGGATCTCAACAAGATGTATTTAAAACGGAGAAAAAGGGGCTTAAACAAAGTTAATTTAAACTTCAAGTCCTTAATTTCACTGGAGAGGTTAGAGAGTCCACGAAAGCCTCTTGTTTCTATCATCGTTTAGTGAAATTTTCTCTAACGTGTCACAATTATGCCATCCCCTAAAAGACACAAATCATCGTGATCAGGAAGGAAGTGGTAATTTGGTGATCAAATTAAACCCATGCATAATTCCAATACCAAATTGTAATTGCTATCGTGAAGATTTTGCCTTCACAATTTTTGCAACTGTTCCAGTTTAGCAGTCCATGTACAGTGAGCATGCGTGCATGCAGAGCGGACCCGTGTTTGATCCGACACGAGTTTGTTGACGAAGGACCCTACGGTGAGGAAAAACATACAAAGAGCAGTTTTTAAGGAGAGTTTCCCAAGGAAATCGCTAAGAACCTGTGTTAATCATCAGCTCATCCCTCCCACTATAGCTGATGTGGATTCTCTCCACTTCTTTCAAGGAGGACATATGCATGTACTTCGCAACATAGAGAGAGAGAGAGAGAGAGAGAGAGAGAGAGAGAGAGAGAGAGAGAGAGA